GTGTACATATGCTAGATATGTAAAGACTAAACGGATGCATACAACTCATACATCACTTAGTTGGACCTCTTTTATGGCTGGTGACCATTTAAATCATCACTTATGCCGCATAAATTCAAAAACAATTAACTCACAAAGAAATACAACAATTGACACGTACAGGATGGTAATTTGACAATGGGCAGACTCTGAAGTCTTACCTTATCCTCATTCCTGAGCAATCCTTTTCTGATAATTCGCATTCGGATGGCAGCATAAAATCTCAAGGCATTCCCACCACAGGTTACCTCTTCAGCACGAATAGAGCCTTGGTCTGATCTCAAATTTCTTCTTACCTACAAAGGTTGAGAATGCGCCATAAAATCAATGCCGCCTGCCCTATGTGAAGAATTTTAAGGAAAAAAATGAATCGTTATAAAAACAAGGTCCTGACCTGATTAATAAAGATAATCAGAGTACAAGAACGACAGAGCGAATAATGAATTTTTCGTAGTGCTTGGGTCATTATTTTAGATTGTAGGTCCGTGGGGGGGCTACAAGTTGAAGCTTCGACTTCAATTTGAGGAACAAGAGCAGCTACCTACAACCATAATGCAGATAAAACATTATGGGTAAATAAAGCAGTTTACTAACGATGAAGAGAAAAATTGAAGTAAACTGCAGAAGTTTACAAGAGAAAACTACATTTGAAAAACAATGGAATAGAATTTCCATGTAAATGAAGAAGTTTACCAACAAAAATAACATAACTTAAACGTTTACGTCCAATAGATAAAAGGCACCTTAACCAAAGAGCTAGAATCTCTATATAAATGCAGTACTACTATAGGGTCTAATAACATTACACATCCATAAGTTCCACACAATGGAATCAATGTCTATAGCTGCAAATGCAAAAGAAATGGGCAGGCATTTATTAAGAACACTATAGCATAAATAATCTGTTCAGAAGAGAGGAAGGAGGGGCAGATACGTACACTGTCAACCACAATTACATCAATTGATCCACTTTTTGTCAATGTATCAACGATACTCAGCAAATTTTCAGCAGAATCTGGCTGTGAAACAAGCAGATTATCTGTATTTACACCTATTGATTCTGCAAATAAAGGGTTCATTGCATTCTCCACATCAAGATATGCACAGTAACCTGTCAGAAGAATGGATCAGTATTAAGAATGAACTCTGCAAAAAACTATATGGTGATAAGAAATACTATGAAAGGCAGAGCTTGACAACAGCTGTTGGCAGCACCACAGTTACGGAATGATTAGGCTTGTTACGCTCATAATGGAAAAGTAACTATCATGTTCAAATAGTTTTACAAAGTGATATTTTCCTTTTTTCTCCTTTCTTCTATATTTTTTTTAATACACTCAAGTGTCTGGCCAGTTTATGACACACAGAATGAAATATAAGTTTGCTAATTACTCATTAAGGTTTTACTAGCATCTAACAAAAATGAAAAGGAATGCTGAAAAAACTCAAGAAAAAATCAGCATCTCGTTTTGGTTTCTTTTTCAATTACCTCCACCAAATCAAGACCAAAGGCAACATAAATGCAGAATATTAAATATTTGGTGTTAGTGTACAACCTTAGCATCAGACAGCAAAAAGACTGTTCAGAGAAATAAGTCAGACTTCCATGCATACATCAAAATGCACAATCTAATATTCTGTCTGTAGGAGAGTGTTACTTGTACTATTCCAATACCATTAGGCCCGTACAAATTTCTATAATCAACTTGAGTTCAACCCATGTAAAGTTCCAAAGTAAACTTATGGATGAGATGCAGATAAGCTATCATTATTGTGTTGAGTGAATAGAAACAATTTCATAATCGAAATGCTAAAGAGCACAACTGACAATGCAGGCTAGTGTATACTCATCTATATGGGAATGCACATGTACACTCCAATATCACGATCGTTTTACTTTTAAAACTAAATAAACATGCTATTTAGTACTTACTGTTCTTTAGAATTTAGAGTAATTCATAGTTTCATTGAAACAATGAAGAATCAACAAAAAGAGTTCCAAGAAAATTCATTTTACAACTGAAGCTATGAACATGACAAATAATATTGTGTATGCACCTCCAAGCTTTTGAGCCTCCTTGATAATATGAAGAGCAAGCGTGGTCTTGCCAGATGCTTCTTGCCCATAAATTTCAACCATTCTTCCCTGCAGAAAGCAATTGAGATCTGTTACCCACTATCATGGTTTCAAAGCCAAAAGTTTTAAAAGAGGAATCTTCAATGTAAACTCAAAACAAGAATAAGCACCAATTCATGGCAAAGAAAAATTAGTTAAAAGTAACTCCCTATGCAATAGAAAATGACATATTTTGATAGTTTAACAACAGAATAGATGCCTCTATTTCTAATTCTTTTAGTTTACGAAGATCCTTTACACACCAAAAATTAAGTTAATGTGCAAAAAAAAATTCATATCAATAGCTTTTAAGAGCCATATCTGAAATATGGTTTGGGTCTCAAAATAGGAAAATCCCTATATGTGCTCGTAATTTTCCTATATACAGTTAATGGACAGTACCAAATACGGATCCAACATATTAGAAGGTCACCTTTGGTAACCCACCGATGCCAAGTGCTTGATCCAGCCTCAGTGAACCAGTGGAAACTACAGATGCACGTCTAGCACCAAAGAAATGCTGAGGCGACAACATTGACTCTTCACCAAAATCACTTGCAACCTTTGACAAAGCCACACGCAATGCAGTATGTTTCTCAGTTGCCTTGACATCATCCGGTATTTCATCATCACATTCATATTCTGAAACTTAAACTAAGATCAGAAACAACAAAAGAGAAACATGGATGGAGCAGTGATTACAAAAATATATCAGCCAGAGTGCATATTTAACAGAGCACCACATAATACAAAACCTAAAAATAGATCCGACATATCCCTAAAAAATCACGAAAAATTAGTGAAAACAGCAAGTAATAAATTTTTTTACCCGTAAATGATGCAGAAGTGCTGTGCAACCTCGTCCAAGCTATTACATCCTGACAAGATACTGAAAGTAAGGAAAAACAACATAATACAGAATCCAATCATTAAATTCATTTTTTTCTTGAACCATAAAAAAGATACAAGTTTCCATAGAACCATATTACGTGAACACATAAATACATACATCCGCATGTACATACCGGAGGTTTGAAGGAGACTCGAGAGAGGGGAGAAGAGGTTGAGAGGAGACTAAATCGAAATAACCGAATTGCTTTGGAGCCCAAATTCACCATTTGCTTTCAAGTTATTAACCGATTCTATGCAACTGCCATAGTTAGGGTTTTGTTGCGAGATATTGGTTCTTGAGATGGCGCCATAGTGTTTCAGACCGGGAAACCAGGGGAGGGAATGGAGTTGAAATCACCACATAATTCGACTTATTCGATAGCGTTATAAATTTCAGTTTCCATTTAACAAAAATGCGATTTGTTCTGGAATGTAAAC